AAAATCACTCAAATCTTACCTGTTGTGGATATTGACATACTCATCTGTTTCGTCCAATATCTCTTCCTGGCATAAGCAGAGATTTACAATTTGGATCAATACGTGCAGCAATTAATATTTACAAAAATCCAGTATCCAGATAATAATGCAAGTTTCGTAAGAAAATGCAGAAGCAGATTCAATTACTTATTTGTATAATGCATGATCATTACCTGAAGAAGTTCTTCAATGACATCCTCCATGGTAATTACTCCTACAACCTCTTCATTGTCTGGGAAAACTGGAATGGGACCGTTCTCAATGTCCAGAATGCAATGTGAACAGCCTCTGTGTCGTTTCTTAAAAGTGGGAGTAGCTGATGGGCTTTTCTTCGCTTGTTGACCTCTGTCACCATTGTCCAAAGCACTCTGAGCATTGTTTGAACCCACTTTTTGATCTGGAATTTAACAAGAACACTAATTATGTAGTTCAAGGGAACGACATACGAAAAAGTGGCAGTGGTTGAAGAACTCAGGAAAAGCACATACATTGAGAAATCATGCAGCCAAAAGCTCAATTAATCATCAATCACACAGGACACGCAGAACAAGTCAAACGCAACATTACATTATGTGTACAAAAAGAAATGTCATGAAACGATCAAATACGATATTTGAGATTTGATTTTGAACCTCAAACTGAAATTAAGCCAAAACGGCAACATACTTTTGTAGCTGCTACGAATATACACACCTTTCTTGAATGATGCCCCAGATTCGCCTGCTTGCTTCTTACAGTCATCCTTAAACACGGGTGTTTCACCATCTTTGCCATTCTTTAGTGCATCCTTTTTCCCACTTATATCCTTATAGACAACAGCAATGTGACTGTGACCTTTCTGAAATTCATTTAGAATATCATACAGAGGCATGTCTTCCGAAACCCTGTGGGGTAAATGAAAAGGCCAGTCTAGAATAATCATGCTCAAGCCCAATAAAAGAAGAATACGTAGACAGTGAAATGAACTATCTTAGGAGTGAAAATTCTCAAAATTACATAAGCTCATGTCTTGTATCGGCAATAAAAACCAAAATATAATTCCATACCGAGGAATTTTTCTTATCATCAGTTTTCTTAAAGTAACTCCATCTTCTGGATCAACCATCAAGAGATTCTTAACCTGCACTTATACGAGATTGAACTGATAAGTTTTCAGACAACATCACTCTTCATTTTTTGGTCAGACACGCAGCATCACTTCAACTTTGAAAAATGTGTATAAAGAAAGCAAAAATGGAATTACCAGAACTAGACCAATTATATTTCCGGGCTTCCCAGCATAAACTGGAACTCTACTATGACCCATTGCCATTATTGCATTCAATGTGTCCCTGGAGAGAGAATAGAGTGGCAGGTTTAAAAGGATGGAAGAACGCATAAGATATGATAGAGAGAACAAACTGAAGTCCGCAAACCCACAAAGTAAGAGGTGCATCCAGATCAAGGGAAAATGCATTTGATATGGGAGTCATGGCATCTTTTGCAGTCTTTTCAGTCAATTCAAGTGCCCCAGCAATGATGGTAGTCTCATCATGTGTTAAATCCCCGCCTTTCCCAGCCTAAGTAACAGATCATTTGCATATGCCATATTTAATCAGAGAACACAGGAAACCGGAGGACTTCCAGAGAGTTGAAAGTTCCTAACATATGCCACTAGCTACTAGCATAGTGCTCTAATGCGAGATTAGTAAATTATTATATACCTCATTTCCATGAAAATCCACAAAAGTCTTTAGTTCTGCTCTTCGTAAAAGGGCAGAATGTCCCTTACCCAACATATAATCCAAAACCTGTGGAGAGAACATATTTAGAACAAATAAAATGAAAATAGGAAAAAAAATGCAATAAATGACCGAATATATGCAGCTAAGTCAAATAGTCAAGAAGCATCACACAACTTACAAACATCTAAAGGTAATCATTATGCAAGTTCACGTATTAACATCACCTTGCTAATGGGATACGAAATGGGGAGGAAAAGAACAAGAAGAACACGCACAAACGGGGCCATTGCCGCCCCAACAGTCAATCCAAAGCGAGTGCACACTGCTTGTGGCAATATCTGGAGTTGTAATGCATACAAAGAAACAAAAGTGAACGTCTTTTGTATGTTAAATTAGTTATTCAACGTAAAATGCTCTTGCGAAAAACAACCCACCTCCCCAAACACCAGAATGAGAGTGACTGATATCACAATAGCCGCCCAAGGAGGCACAAGACTATCCAAAAACACCGGAAGAGCCTAATAACAAAGGAAACATCACCAATTTGTAAGAAAGCACTACTTTTAATCAGGGAGTTTTAACGAAACAGTCTGCTACTGTTCACTTTTACCGAAAACCACACATTTACCTGTCCTGGTACTATTCACTACAAAATCACACAATTACCTCCATTGCTAACGCGTTTCCGATTAAAAGCGTGCAAAGTAACAGGTGCTGATTCTTCACCACCGGATAAATTTTAGCTGCGAAAATCGGAGCAGTTTAAAGCATTTAAACACAAGAAAATCTACTTCTTCTGTAAATTCAACTATTCCTTTGACTTGGACTGCAATCAACTGAGTCATCTCGTAATTTAGCTTACTGTCCAGCATATCACAGATAAATTTCATAATTTCCAATCCAAAAACGAAATTTGAGTAAGTTTCAATTCAAAAACAGTTCTTAGAGCTCAGAATCCAGAGGATCACAGAAGGCCCAAAGCAATGAAATTCGAAATTTGAATTGCTGGAGCTCCAAATTTCATAATTGCAAAAAAAAGATTAAAAAAAAAAAAGAAGATGAATTTAAGAGGGAAAAAAGCTGACCGGCGTGCTTGCGATCCTGAGGTTGGCCGGACTTCATGAGGACCTCGAGGTCGACGAGGCCGAGGGACATGAGGCCGAGAGTGAGTCCGGCCATCAATCCGGCGAAGCAAACCAGGCCTATGATTATCAGCACGTAAATAAAGAACGTCGTCCCGCAGCAGGGCACCTTCGCCGCCATCTCCGTCGCTCGCTGGCTCAGTTCCTGGACAGTGGAGACCAAAATTTGTAGCCGTGGGCGTGCGCGTGGGCTTGTCTTTCTCGGACCTTTTGCGTTGGGTGTACTGGATCGCTTTTTGCCGGCTCAGTTCCCTCGATTTTATCACACCCATTTTACCGGAATTGGTAATATTTATTGACTTTCTTGCATTAAAACACTTGCTTTTAGCGGCACAGCAAGTGTCCATGTTATTAACTTTGGAGGATAAATTTATAATTTTTTATAAGAAAATATGTAAGTTAATTTTAAAGTTTAATTTAAACGTTAGATTCACAACTTATATAAAATGTTAAGGGTTTATAGGCGAAAAAATAACAGTATTACATTATAAAATGTGTCAAGTGACTTAAATTGACGAAAAATTAGATGAAATAGCTTTGAATACAGTAGTAGGGAGGAAATTAGCAATTTTTAATGAATTTAGGGACTTATTTTACTGAAAAAATAATTTAGATACCTAATTTTCACTGAACTGATAGTTCAGAGACTAAATCAACATTTCACCATAACATTTATATTTTTTTGAATGTGGTGCTAATGCTACACGTGGCGTGTTTCAATTTGTTTGGTAATCTATTTGGTATTTTTTGCAAGAGAAATGCTAAGGAAATTCTCTCAACAATGAGATTGTTTCAGGATTCTTTGTCGCCTCATATTTTTAGCACTGTTTAATAATAATGGCACAGAAATTGATGTAAATTGTGTGGCAGAGAATCCATAGACAGTCACACTTCAAGAGCATCTCCTTAGTATTTCTCTTTTTGTAGTTTTCTCTTTGAGCATTTTCATTTCTTTTTTATTTTGTAATGTGATACGGTAATTTAAACAGTCTATTTTTACAATGTTCAAATGACAAGCTTAACACATGTTCCAATTGTAATATTGACCGCTTTATTCACAATTATAATGCAAGTGGACAACACACATCGTATAATTATTAAACACACGTAACAGCGAGACGTTCTTATTAAAAAAAAAAATAAATCATGTTAGTATTGTGTTTGGTCCACATGGCCTCTGAAAAGTCAGATTTTACCCCGATACGCTTGCGTTTGCAAGCAGATCGATGATAATGGGTTGATTCCCGGAACAAGAATAAACACGTCAGCCGTTGATTCGGGGTATCTAGTTAGGTATATTTACAGAGAATATTTCATTAATTAATATTGGCGGCACCGCCACCACTTGTTTGGCTACGGCAGCGACGGTCCTCTCTATGCCACGACTCTCTCCTTTTTCCGGCCATCTCAAGTTCTTCACAAAGTTTATTCGCATATGCTTTTCGCTGGGTGTGGACCTTTCACTCGTGGTGGTAATATAAAAGACAAAAATGAACCACAAAGCGACTTGTATTAGGAGGACCACATTCACACTTCATAAAAGGAATAAATAATCAGCATACGTGAGTTAAATCAGTTAATCATACTTCTCGTAGTTAACAAATGTAAATTACGTCAGTTGATCATGGTGATGTGTGGGTGTCCTCTTACACCTAAGTTTTAATCTGATTCTCATAACCATTTGACATGAGCTATGTCGATCGGTCATGGCAATGTGCTAGCTTCTTACATCCAAGTTTGAATCGGCTTCTCGTAATTCAGGTAGTTTAAAACACCATATTGTACACACAAAAATAATCAAAACAATCAAAGGCTTTATAATTGAATTTCCCCCTCAAACTGTCTTTAAGTCTTCATTTACCCCTGAAACAATCAAGACTTTAAGGTTAAAGTCCACTTTTAGGAGGTAAATTGAGACATAGGGCTGGTTTGATATTGTTGTGCTTTAAAAAAAAATGTTTTTGTTGTGCTGTGAGAATAAGCTTATTTTTTATGCTTCATGTTTTTAGCTTTTTTTCACCCAAAACTGTGAAAATAAACTGTTTTTAAGTGTTTACCAAACACCTTTTTGAGCTCAGCTTTTTTTTATGCCCACTTTTTTTATAAAAGCACCTCAGTACCAAACTAGTACATAAAGACGGTTTCCGGGGCAGTTCAATTAATAAGCCAAACAATCAACCAAATTACAAAATAAAAATAAATAAAAAAATTTTGTCTCAAAATTCCTATAGAAAAGTCAATTCATCTTAAGAAACGGGCATAACTTTTTACCTAGGAAAATCTTGGTTTATGATCGCATGTGGTTAAGCTGAATCCTTGTCAAATATGGGCTGACGATGCCAGTTGTGTATGTCTGGTCCCGTCACTGTTCTTATGCTCCAACCAACATAAGAAACTACCACGGCAGATAAAACGTGCAACAGTGCTTCATTGACTTGGGGTTAAGTATCACCTTGAGAGGAGGGACTTTCCTCCACCCCTAGGATGCTAGCACGACGTCACATCCAAAAGTTATCCGCATTGTCCCAAGACCCCGTGGTGGCATCACGGATACAAGTCAGTCTTCCCGTGGGGGATAGAGGGTGAAAACTGATAGCCACTCAATTCGGGGCCTAACGCCAATTGCCTCCCCCCTTGTGCAACGCAAGCAAACACGTACCACGAAATGACGCCTTTGTCGTGTGCCCAACGAAAACCAAACAAATGAGTACTTGTTATAAAACCACTGGACTGCATTGGACTTCCCTCATTAGGAGCCAGGGTGCCCCTGTCGGATATCACTTCCTGGGAGCCACTGATACCAGATAATAACACAATGCCTGTAGACCAAAAACAGAAGGCTCATAAAATTGTGGTAGCCGTGGACTGCATTGCAACCTTCCTTTTTTCTATAAAGGCCAATAAAAAAAAGGCAGGACGCGACTTATAAGCCATTTTCTCCAACCCTTATGGGTTTGTGTTGTGTGGCTCTCTTTTCTTATCCCTCTATCACCTGCTGCAGCCTAACGTTTTGAATCCCACCTTGTTCTTCATTCCTTTCTATTAGTTTCCAAACTTCCGTCCACTTTAAAGGTGTTTCAGTGCAATTTAAAGACCATGTCGAGTCAAGACAATGGCTCACCTGAGTTCCCTATGTGGCCGGAGTTCAAGCTTCCGGACTTGTTGTCCACAGACACCGTTCGACAGGTTCATGCAACCATTGAGAACGAATGGGATCCTCTTCAGCGGTCGGGTTGCCAGACGGCAGCTGGGAGAGCCTTGTGGAATCATGTCATTCATGACCCCCTGGCAGACATACTTGCAGGAGAGTCGTACCTCAAAAGTTTCCATGAGAAGATAAAGAAAGACTGCGTCAACAAGGCGCGAGAAATATCTGGTGTCATTCTCGCAGTTCGAACACTCTGGTTTGATTCAAAGCTTGAAGCAGCACTTCATTCGTTCAATGATGGAGAAGCACAAGTAGTTTTTCTTGGGGCAGGTTGGTAACTACCCTATCACAATATTTTGGTTACCAGCACTTTTTTAACCAATGCAGTGTATATCAAGGTGAACTTCGTGCCTGTGATGTATGATGTTGGGACATATTTGTGTAATACGTAGTTTTTGAGACTAGATGACTTGTTCATTTACATTGCTTTACCAGTCTACTGGATGAATTCCTGTAGAGTGAAACACAACTCCCGTCAAAAAACGAACGCTTTTTAGGAAAATTGATCCCCAACATGCAGCATCTGATTATGCACCAATGTAAACTACAGATCAGGAATTATTGGTCATGTATATGCATGTGCTAACTTTAGAAACCAGGGCAAACTTTTAGACCAGGTCCCAACCAAATATACTAATTGTAGTTTATATAAAATTGTAGATAGAATATATATGGAAACTGAAATCTCTCAACTTTCACGTGTACGGAAAGTAAATATTTAGCTTATGATGAAAATTGCACTTCTTTTTGTAGGAATGGATGCAAGAGCTTACCGACTGAGTTGCTTGAAGGAAAGCAATGTGTTCGAAGTTGATTTTCCTGATGTCCTGCAAATAAAAGCCACTCTCCTGAAAGCAGCAATGGACTCTACAAACGATCACCAGTGTCTAATGATGACAGCAAAATTCATAACTAGAGTGGCGGCCGATATCAGAAGCAATAATTGGCTCGAAAAACTTCAAACATCCGGGTTTGTGCCGGAGAAGAACACAGTGTGGGTTCTGGAAGGCATCCTCTACTACTTAACCCACTCTGAGGCCACGCAAGTACTTGAAACCATAGCAGACAAGTGCTCGCTTACTCACACGGTGCTTCTGGCGGATTTTATGAACAAACCGTCAACCACACTTTCCAATTCCACCTTCCATTTCTACAGCGATTGGCCTGATCATCTCCTGCCATCTCTTGGCTTTTCTCATGTTAAACTTTCACAAATTGGTGATCCAGATGCTCATTTTGGACTCATGCACGATCCATTAAATCTGTTCAACAAGCTTCGCAGTTTACCTAGGTCATTATATACCCACCCAGATGATGGAACACCATGTTGTCGCTTGTATTTGGTTGAGGCTTCTGGCTCACCGAATCAAACTATTCCCTAGATAGCCAGCAATTTTTTACTAAATATCTTCAATTAGCTGCGCAGCTGTCAAGGTCAGTACAAAGCTTCGCTACTGCTTGGTGTAGCCATCTGAATCAAACTATTAGACCACTCCACATGGACCAACAGGTCATTATATCTGATACCACAAGTGTCAAACTCAAAATTTATGGCAGCATAGGAGTAGGCATTGATATTTGTAGATCTGTGAAGAAAAATATATTCCATTGAAATGAGAAACTCAAACAAATTTGAGATGTCTGAAATTTTCCAAGCAAGCCAATACTGACATATGCAGTTGTTCAATCATGTTGAGCAAATTATCAACAAGACCCACTGTCAAAGGGTATGCAAATTAAGGAAAAAGAAAAAAAAATCAAACAGTATAGCTTATAGAGTCGTGAACTGCATTCTCTGCATTTAGAAGTGTGCATTTTGCTTCACTTCAAGTCATCCACCTAGTTAACATCTGGAATGATTTTGACCACTAGAGTTCATTAAATGACTAGGATCGACCTGAAATGTGACAAAACTATACATTTTTAAATATAAATATATATGTGCGTGTGTGTGAAAAAGTCTCGGGTTCGAGACTTGGGAGCAGCCTCTCCATAAATGGGGGTAAGGCTAGCCGACATTCACCTCTCCCAGACCCTGCGTAAAGCGGGAGCCTTGTGCACTGGGTACGACCTTTTTATGTGCGTGTGTGTGAATATATTTCAGATCCTTATCTTTCCAAAACCAAGAACAGAGCTACCTGGATGCCTTTCCATTAACAAAGAACGCAATGATATTGCCACAATGAGAAATTAAGAAGGCAATATGAAGACATTAAGAAAAAACAAGCATCGACTTCAATAACTATGCTATTTATAAACATACAACTTAGAGGAGAAAAATGGACAAAATAAGGGTAAAGAGCATGACAGTGGACAGAAATCAAGACACAAGATAGACAAGAGAAGAGGAGAGGTTTCAAACCCACAATATACATGCATCTACAGAATTTCAAGCATGATATCCGCTAGATAGCTTTTGCTGCAAGGAAAAAACTACAGATTGGTTAAGCTTCAAGGCAGTCCTTGATTCCCTGCTCAAATTTGTCTAGGGATGATATGGTATCCATGAGATAATCTGCAACCTTCTTTCTGCAGCCAATAGAAAAACGTCAGATGGAAAAATGAACTGTTACTAATGCACAACTTGGTACCCTATTATGTAAAACAGGGTACTAAAAAAATTCCTTCTCAGGATCCGGAGTGCAACAAAAATGAGAGTAAACAAATTTCTAAAGCTTTCAAGAAAATTCTCTCTTGTCCATGTTTACCTTTCAGCGGCAAATTGAACATCAGTCTCATTTACCAGACCATTAAGAGAAGTGAATGATCTGCAATATAGCAAGTAAATGTTACAACGATTGTATAGAGAAATATATTTCTCTACCATGAAATTATGTCATCCCTAAAATGTACCTTATAAGATCATTTAACAAAGACTCGGCTTCCAATTTTACAGGATCCTTATCACCAAGCAACGACGACGCATTCTTTACAACCAAACGGAATGTGCAAACCTGTGAAGTAAATGAGCTTAGTAATATGAGGTAAATTACCAAAAGCTCAACATCTCCATCATCCTACAACAAATTCTCCCAATGCCAACCAAATTGCAATAGGGTTCTACACATTCCTATGCATTAATTAAGATTAATAGCGGCTTAATTAACCTGATTAAATAAAAACAAAGAGAAATGAGCGAATTGCCGAACCTCAACACCCGTATTGGCTTGAAATGCAACAAACGAGTTCCTATCTTCTATAACACAATCCCTCGCAGATGATCTAAACAATCTCTGAACCTCCTCCATCTCCTTGTTCGTATAATCCGAATCTGTAGCCGCTGTAAAATAAATCACATTAATCCAAATGAAATTGCACCAACACACACACATACATAGACATATACATATATATATATATATATATCTAGAGAGAGAGAGAGAGAGAGAGAGAGAGACTGAGTAATTGATAAGCCGCGACGAGGCTCTCACGGGAGGCATCAATCGGGGCCAAGAGGAACCTGGAGGCCTTCTTCTTCTGCTCGCGGAGCCAATCCTTTGGTCCTGCTGCGCAAATACCCAAAAATTAGGGTTTCCAAGGCAAACAACTATAAATTAGAGGACTAAATCAAAATGGTGCGAGCTAGCTCACAAATGCCGAAGGAAAGTCCGGATGCCGGGCCGGGTCGGAAGAGTGAAGGGATGAGAGCGATGAGGGAGAGCAAAGCGACGTCTCTACGACTGCGTTTTGGGAGCTGAAGATTGGGGGAAGCGTGCGGATTTGAAATTAGGGTTTTTGATTTTGGAGGGAAGGATGAAATGGCGGTTACAGTGGATGAGGCCGAGCTGGAGATAAGGCGGCGCGAAGCAACTGCCATAGTTGTTGCGTTTCGGCTTTTCTTTTGCGACGACGTGTTGTGGTTGTGTGGGTGAGTCATCGATACACGACTTGACGTTTTGCTTTCCTCGTCACGCGGGACGCGATTTTGCATATCCGACGTGGCGGTGTGCTATTGGTCCGATTTTATTTGTGCTGTTAACGGACTTCAAGAGGAGTTTGTTGAGTTTAAGAGCAATTCCACCGGAGTGGAATTTGCCCAGCCCTCAGTCCAAAAAACGTGTTGGGCCTCTGTCAATCAAGTCCACCCCATGAAATGAACTGGTACCCAGCCCGAGCTGGGCAAGAGCCCAGCCCAAAAGAGACTGAGACATAAGCCGGGGAGGAAGCCTGGCGCGTGCGATTCACGTCGGTTGGGCGCGAGTGCCCGACACGGTTTCAGAGTCCGGGCCCGCGTGACAGGCGCACTGACTCCCCCCCCGAGTTGGCGACGTGGCTTTCTTTCGGCCGTTGGATTTCCAACGGCTAGTTTTCTAGACCGTTGGATTTCCAACGGTAAAAAAAATTTAAATTTTACTTTTAACATAGACCGTCGGATCAAAGATCAACGGTCCACGTTTTTTTTACAAAAAAGTAAATAAAAAAAAAAGGCCCCAACGGTCAGAAATATGACCGTTGGCCACGTGGCAAGTCCCTGGCTCTTGGATTTGAATATTTTTCAAATCCAACGGTCCAGATTAATTAATTATATTAAAATTCATTAAAAATTATTTAAAAATACAGAAAAATTATTAAAAAATACAGAAAATTTTAAAAAAATTACAGAAATATTTGAAAAATGTTAATTTTTTTCCTATAAATACCTAACCCTCATCTTCTACCTTTACACCACATTCCAATATTTTCTACACTTTTTATACTATCTACATTTCAATATTTTCTACACTTTAAGAGAAAAAAATGTCTTCGTGGAAGCTCATTGAAGATGTTACGTTGTGTGAATGTTGGGTTCACACTACTCATGATCCGATTACGGGTAATGAGATGGATAAGCGAGAAATGTGGAGTAAAATTACGAAAGCGTTTTGTGATGTACATGGAGAAAACGCCAGAACTAGTCAAGGTCTTCAAGGTCGTTGGAAAAAACTCAACGCATCCTTTACTTGTTGGAAAAACGCCATCTCTCATGCTTCTGGTAACCTCCGTAGTGGGACAAGTTTAGCGGATCAGGTGACAATATTTTTATTTATTTATATGCATTCCACTCACATTAATATTTTGATTTATTTAATTTCGTATGTAATTTTTATGTTATTTCTTATGTAATTTTTATTTAATTTCTTCTGTCATTTTTATTTAATTTCTTATGTCATTTTTATGTAATTTATATGCATTCCACCCGTATTAATATTTTGAATTTATTTATTTGTGTTACACCCGCATTTTTTAACACTATGTTATCCCACATTTTTATAGACACTACAAGCTCAAGCATTCTACAATTCAAAGAACGGGAACAAATCATTCACTAGATGGGAATGTTGGTAAATTGTCAAAGATTGCCCTAAATACAAAATTTGTGGCAACTGGTCCAGAAGTTGTCATGCACGCACGTATGGGTCTACATAGTTCTCCAGAACCAGAACCAGACATGGCCGAACAAGAAGCCGACACATTTCAAGACACGGAAGGGATACCTGAACAAGTGCCCGAGACCCAACCGACTCGTCAGTCCCTCAGGCCTGTAGGTAAAAAGGCGTCAAAGAAAAAAGGTAGTTCTTCCAAGAATGACTACACTAAATATATGGAGGAACTTACTCGCCAAGGTGAACTGAACATGGCACGAGAAAATGTTAGAGATGAGGAAAAAGTTGCTGCTATGGCAGCAATATTAGCAGCTACTGAGGCCCGTGATGCGGCGGCTGTGAGACAAAGAGAAGTAGTTAATCGAGAGAACGAGCTGGTTAGAGAAGCACTTCATCGAGAAAATGAATTGCTTCGAGAAGAAAGGATGGCTCAAGCAGATCGTGACACTATGAGCAAGTCTCTAGTAGGACTGTCTCCGAATTCTAAATATTTTTGGACATCGGAAAAAAGAGATGTCATGCGAAGGAGGCGTGCAAGAGATGCGGAAACAAGTCAAGGGGGTTCTAGCAACTTTTGTGACAACCAAGATCCTCGCACCACATATCCTAGCTCGAGAGACTTTGTATAATTTTTATGTATTTTTTATGTTTTTTCCTTCTTTTTTCTTTTGAACTTTATTTAATTTCTTATATAATTTCTTATGTTTTTTTCTTTTTTTAGGTTTGAACTTTATTTAATTTCTTATGTTTTTTTCTTTTTTTAGGTTTGAACTTTATTTAATTTCTTATGTAATTTTTATGTTATTTCTTATTTATTTTTAAAACTTTATTTATTTTTATTTAATTTATTATGCGATTTTAATGTAATTCTTTATTTATTTTTAAAACTTTATTTCTTTTGTACTTTATTTAAACACATGAAATAAGATTACATAAACTCACCAAATAAATTTAAAAACAAAACACACTACATAGAATTACATAAACTCACCAAATACATAGAATTACATAAACTCATTAAATAAACTTAAAAACAAAACACACTACATAGAATTACATAAACTCACCAAATACATAGAATTACATAAACTCACTAAATAAACTTAAAAACAAAACACACTACATAGAATTACATAAACTTAAAAAAAAGATCGTGACATTATTCAACCACAAGCCTCATTCTAATTATCTTCGCCTTCATGCAATCCCCACTGGTGCTCAATCAAGTCATTCTGGCGGGTTACGTGCCAGTATGGCTCTTGCACATTAGTGTAACGTTGAACGATCAATTCATTGTAACGTCCATCGCGTTCCAACGGCTCGTGTTGCACTGGATCTTCGGTCCCATCATGAGCACAATAGATACGTGTTCTTGAGTTGTTCATCGGATTCGGCTCATATTCATCGACGCCATCATAATCATACTCATCTTCAACAATCATGTTGTGGAGAATAATACACGTCATCATGATGGATCGAAGAGCCTCGACATCAAACATTCTAGCTGCAGCCCTGATAATCGCCCAACGAGCTTGCAGGATACCAAAACAACGATCGACATCCTTCCTACACCCTTCTTGACATTTTGCAAAGTGTTTTTCCTTTTCAGTCTGTGGATGTGGCACTGTTTTGACAAATGTTGACCACCTTGGGTAAATGCCATCTGCAAGGTAGTATGATCCCTCGTATTGGGTACCATTAATGGTATATGTGCATCTCGGCGAGTTTCCTTGCATCAGTTCGTCGAACACTGGGGATTGGGCAAGGACATTTAAGTCATTCTGAGCTCTTGGAACACCAAAAAAAGCATGCCAAATCCATGTATCAAATGAAGCCACCGCTTCCAAAATGATGCTTTTGGTTCCTTTTCTGTTGCCATATGCTCCTTGCCACGCACTTGGACAGTTTTTCCAAGTCCAGTGCATGCAGTCCATGCTTCCAATCATGCCAGGGAAGCCTCGCATCTCACCCTTCCTCAGAAGCCTTCGCATGTCCCTTGGCGTGGGTGTCCGGAGGTACTCATTGGTGTAGAGGGCTTCAATTGCATAGCAAAACAGCATCAGGGACTCCAAAACAGTTGTTTTTCCCATCCTCGCGATCTCATCCACTTGATCTGCAGATGCTCCATATGCAAGCATTCACAAGGATGCCGTAATTTTTTCGAGAATAAGACCTAGAACATGAAAAGCATCCTCTTTTTGCACAAAGTATGAATCATGGTTGCAAATATCACTCATGATTTTGTTGAACAAATTTCGTTGCATTCTAAAACACCGTCTAAAAATATGATAAGGGAATATGCTATTGGAAATAAAATAATCTTCCAATAGATTTTTACCTCGTTTTTCCCTTTTTCTATCGAGGTTTGCAACACGTCTTGGTTTGGCTATCTGACCCACGGCTTCCATGACACGGCGGGAATGTGAGGCCTTCTGCCTTCTATGGTGATCATCCTCATCCTCCTCCATGAAGAAAGCCTCATCTCCACCTCCACTTCCACCTTCCTCGAGATTGGCCAATTCTGCCTGTTGTGCCAACAACCTTTGTTGTTGCTCCTGCAACTGTTTATACACCCTTCTTGAAGAAGACATTGTAATAAAAACTCAAGATTTGAAAACGATGAACAAGGATTCTGAGTTAAAAAGAAGGATTGAGCTTGGTGTGAGGATGGATGTAGGGATGTAGGGTTTATATGGACAAAAAAAAAAGAAAGGATGGGGTTCTGGACAATGTCACGTGGCACTACGTGATTGGTTGAAAATCTTGGCTAAATTATTGTAAAACGGAAGTGATACGTGGCGTGTCAGGATTGGTTGAAAATCTTAGCAGAAATCTATTCACAAAATAGTACGTTCAGATAATGACATGTGGCATGACGAGATTGGTTAAAAATCCTATCCGAAATTAAAACTATTTTATTTTCTTATTATTTTAGACAAAATTTAAAAATATTTTAAATGGGCTGGGTGCCAGCGCATTTTGTAGGGATGGAGATCGTTTGTGCCAGCACATTTTTTCACTATGTGCCAGCGCATTTTTTTAGGGGTGGAGATGCCTTAGCCTATTACTGTTCATTGGAGTCTGTTACTGTTCATTTGAGTGGATAAATGCGCTGGGTGCTGGCGCAAAGTCCTTAGGGGTGGAATTGCGGCGTTGGCTATGAGCATTTCGGTGCTGTCATAATATAAGTGGTTAAATTTTTGGGTTTTTTTTTATAAACACTCTATAATTTGATGAAAACATCCTATAATTAAAATTGTTTGTACCATACTTATGGTCTTCGTATTTAGATTTCGTATAAATACTCGGGGGACTCAAATGTAATTATGTAATAGGAATGGACAAATATGTAATAAGTGAGGAACCCTTATTCTATAAAAGGGACTCCTCACCCTCACAATTAGGAGGTCAATTCTTAGGTCATGTGAAATAGCTCTCTCACCCTCAGAAGCTCTCACCCTATCATCCTCTTACAAACAGAGAAATACAATATCAATGTAGACGTAGCCCAAACATTGGGGTGAACCATGATACATCTTGTGTTATTTACTTTCTTGCAGATTCACGGTCGGATTTACGTTGTTCCAAGACCCCTCCGGTTTTGTGCATCAACATTTGGCGCCGTATGTGGGAATCGACACGAAAATCTATGTCGGTTCTCTTTCATTTTTTCACATCCACCGTGAATCTGCAAAATTTGTTAAAACCCCAAAAACTCCAAGGTTCATTACTTTTCTCATATCTAGCAAACCCCATTTGAAAAATATTCCAAAGTTCCAAAATTCTATCACTTTTCTTTAAATTGTGCGAAACCCATTTCCCAAAATCTCATCATCCCTTCATAAATTGAGCAAACCCCACCACTCAAAATCCCAAGTATTTTCGCACAAAAAATGAAGGAGTATTGGACCTATTTAGTTTCTTTGCTAGGCGTTTTGGCCTTCTGCCAAAGCCTCATCCAAGCAGTGTACCCATCGGAGCTCCGCTACACCTTCGCCAAGCTCTTCAACAAGATCTTCCACTAGTTCTCCTCCTACTACTACTTCGACATCACGGAGATCGATGGCGTCAACACCAACGAGCTCTATAATGCCGTGCAGCTCTACCTCAGATCCACGGTCTCCATCACTGGCACCCGCCTCTACCTCAACTCCACCTCCATAGTATTAGATCTCTCACTCTTTCTCTCTTATCGTGAGCTCCTTGCCTGAAATCTCTCTCTAGATTTCGCTAATTAAGTTACCTTCCTTCCTTCTCGATCCCAAATCACCAAAATTTGTCTGAACCGACCAATGGTTGAATCCTCGCCACCTAAGCCCTAAACTTCCCGAATCGTTTCGACCTTCATCCAATCAAAAACCCAAAGCTTGATCTAAGGTTTTGTCCCCCTGTTCGATTTTCGTGAATCTATGGTTCGTGTTGTTTAATTCGCCTCTGGATTGATGTTTCATCTCAAGGTGGACGATTGTGGGATCGATTGCTCGCGAATTGAAAACTGAGATGGAAGGTTATAGATTTGGGGAAAGGGAAGTCAAGATGGAGAAGGCGAAGAAGCGTCTGGAGCTGAACTCGGACGAGTCAGAGACCATGTCGCGAGTTGCCATCCCAGCTCTCCAAATCAGAAAGTCGAGCTTCTACGATGCCTTCGCTCTGAGAAGTATCCAAGTCGAGCGAGTCAAGCCCGATGTTGTCATCTGTTATTTCAAGGTCCCTCCCCGCCTTATCGATAGAGATGGAACTTTGGCAAATGGTGCAATTGCAAACCTTGTTGATATAGTTGGTGGTTCCTTAGCTTATATTCCAGACCTCCCTATGAATGTTTCCGTCGACATATCCATCTCTTATGTCTCAACTGCCAAGGTTGGAATAATGGAGAGGGATTTTCTGGGTTTGAGCTCAATCAGTGGTGGTGCGACTCTGAAGGAATAACCCAGTAAAGAAACCAAGAATTCAGCGGTGACAAGAAGTTCAGGGATGCATTGGTCGTTTTCAAACAACCAAAAGTCGTTCTCTGGTGGGATTCAGCATCAGGAGGAACAGCAACAGAATAATAAAAGTAGAAAAAGAAAAAGAAAAAGAAAAAAAATCATGATGTTACTAAAGAATAGAAAAAGAAAAATAAAAAGGGAAATTGATATTGGTATGCTTTTGCTTTTGCCTGGCAATGCTTTCCATTAATTCCATGTGATTAAATGGATCAGGTGCATGCAAGCACATGTGGGTTGATGACCTCTAAAGAAAGTGGTCGCAGAGCTCGTGAGTGATGACCTTCAAAGATGCGTTTTACAAATGGACAGCAGCACAGAGACAGAGACATAGAGGAAGGCACAGTGGAAAACAAAAGCAAAAGTAGAAAGCAAAAGAAAAAAAAAGGAAGAAGATAAAAAAATCAGACATAATTGCGGTGGTGATGGCATGTAGAAAAGGGAATTATGGGCGTGACCCATTGAGCAGAGAGCCAGATTTATTTTTGAATGATGTAATTTATTTTCCTTATACTTCAGAGACATTTGTGTAACCCCATCAAAGGGTAATCATTTAAAAAAAAAAGGCAAGCCCAAAATAATGGGCTGGAATGTTATGTAGAGGGCGAATGCCTATATGCCCAAAAGAGTCAGACCCTCTATTATCACTAACCAGTTGATCAAAAGTAATTCCAGTACTATAAAAAATTATTCGGCACCCTGCCGCTATTATCACCAACCAGGTGATCAAAAGTACGCCCAGTACTCCAAAATTATTCGGCAGTCTGCCGCTATTATCACCAACCAATTGATCAAAAGTACGTCCAGTACTACAAAAAATTATTCGGCAGCCCGCCATTATTATCACCAACCAGGTGATCAAAAGTACGTCCAATACTCCAAATTTATTCGGCACATTGCCACTATTATCACCAACCAGGTGATCAAAAGTACGCCCAGTACTCCAAAATTATTCGGCAGCCTGCCACTATTATCACCAACCAGGTGATCCAAAATACGCCCAGTACTCCAAAATTATTCGGCAACCTGCCGTTATTATCACTAACCAGGTGATTAAAAGTACGTCTAGTACTCCAAAATTATACATGAGCATTACTCATGTCAATCATACATAAATATTCATGAGCATCACTCATGTCAATCATGCATAAACATTCATGACCATCATTCATGTCAACATTCATGACCATCACTCATGTCAACATTCATGAGCATCACTCATGTCAACATCCATGAGCATCACTCATGTCAATCAACATAAAACATTCATGAGCATCATTCATGTCAATCAACTTCGAAAGCTTCATTTACAAAGCTTCAGCTTCAAAAGCTTCATTTACAAAGCTCCAGCTTTAAAAGCTTCACTTGCAAAGCTTTAGTGCAGGGTATACAAATACCGCATCCGAACAACCGCTACTTCGACCTATACATGGATTCAATTTGAAGTCTCCAACCAACATACTCTATTGACCGAAATCTTGGGGGACTACATTATGTAACATATATTGAGCCTCAATTGGGTCTCATGAAAAATACTTGAAGCACTTAGCCTATTATTTATGTATTGAGGAGCGAGCCCTTATGCTATAAAATGACTCATTCACCATCATTAGAGAGCATTACCGCCTGCTAAGCAATCGACTCGCCGCGAGCATCACTCCTAACCCATCACTTATGTATTGAGGAGCGAGCCCTTATTCTATAAAAGTGACTCCCTCACCATCATTAGAGAACATCGCCGCCTGCCCTTATTCTATAAAATGGACTCCCTCACCATCATTAGAGAGCATCGCCGCCTGCTGAGCAACCGACTCGCCGCGAGCATCACTCATAGCCCATCACTTATGTATTGAGGAGCGAGCCCTTATTTTATAAAAGGGACTCCCTCACCATCATTAGAGAGCATCGCCGTCTGCTCAGCAATCGTCTCGCCGCGAGCATCAACTCTAGCTCATCATTTATGTATTGAGGAGCGAGCCCTTATTCTATAAAAGGGACTCCCTCACCTTTAACGCCACAAGCCGAGCCAACCAAGGCAACATAAGCCACAAGCCGAACAGCCTCGCAACATGTGCTACTTCTAGTTGAGCATCATTTCAGATTGAGCACCGCCTCATATCGAGTATTCAATTTTAGAAGACATAGACTGAATTTCAAGTCTACAGCCAAAAGACTCTCTTGACTGAAGACTTGGGGGACTACTGTTTGTACCATACTTAGGGCATCTGTATTTAGATCTCGTATAAATACTCGAGGGACTCAAATGTAATTATGTAATAAAGGAAGGGGCAAATATGTAATAAGTGAGGAGCCCTTATTCTATAAAAGGGACTCCTAACCCTCACAATTAGGAGGTCAAATCTTAGGCCATGGGAAATAGCTCTCTCACCCTCAGAAGCTCTCACCCTCTCATCCTCTCACAAACAAAGAAATACAATATCAGTGTGGATGTAGCCCAAACATTGGGGTGAACCACGATACATCTTGTGTTCTTTACTTTCTTGCAGATTCACGGTCGGATTTATGTTGTTCCAAGACCCCTTCGGTTTTGTGCATCAACAAAAAATTTCTATAATTCTAAATTTACCCTTCATTTAAATCTGCATAAAATAAAACTCCCCAATCCATCTCCATTGTTCAGATCCTCGCCTTTTATTTATACTGTTTGCATTTTCTCAACATCATTATAATCATCCTTGTACTTATTTTTGTTCCTTTTCTTTTGCATGATATTCATATCAATTTTCGATTTGGGAACTATACCAAGTCCAACCAGGAATTCCCAAGCAAGGATATGAATATTATCCAAAAGAAAAAGTACAAAATAAGAACAAAACCCTAATGCAGTAGCGTGAAACCTGGATAATAGGATATGATTTTAGTTTCAAGATCATTATCAAAAGCAATTAGCTAGGAATGAACTCCTAATACAATTTCTAGAAACCTGCAGAAAATAGGGTACATGCAATGCTCTTATTGCATCTCCAAAGGTTTAGATGATTTGAAGGACACAATGGAGTCACCAACCATGGTGTTGTGATAGGGTGGTTGATTGTGAGATTTTTTTTTATTATTATTATTTTTGGAAGGTGGGGTGGATTTAACAGAAAGAAGGGTAAAATTGGAATTATTGAGAAAAAAATTTAATTGTGAGGTGCATTTAACAAATTATGGGGTGGTAATAAAACAACCTTGAATTTTTTTTCCAAATATCTAACTACTTGTATTATTATATTTGGTGTAACATGCTATGTGTTCGATATACTGAAAAATCTCTCGTTGTCCTAAAAATAGTCATTATTTACCTCAATTCATTTATGACTAGTAGATTGCCTTGTTGAATACGGATTTTTCTTCAACCTAAAGCGTATTGGATTTAACTTTCATTCATTTTATTAGTGTGGCTTATAGTAGTAATATCATTTGTAAGCAAAAAATTATATTACAATCATTCTAATTGTTGACTTGCATTGTATTTTATTACCGTTTGATTATTTTCTTCATACAAGCGATATAAGAAATCCAATACACTAAAACCTGAGTATTATTATTTTTTTATTAAGAATATTATAATTACTTTGATTCATTAATCTTAGTGTGTCATTTACTGATAGATACAAAATCATGTAATGTATATTTCTCATTTTACATTCATAATATAATACTTTAAACCAACAAATTAGTTATTACAAGGAGTAGTCGATAAGTGTCTGAGCTCAAAGAAGATATAGTAATTACTAGACCTGCTCATTTGAGGTTCTTTTTTACATATTAATCTTATGATAAATTAAACTATCAATTTAAATAATTTCTGTTATATCGAAACATAATAATTCTGCACAGTGTTTAAAGTATAAAAAAGTTATCATGTGAAACTTTTCGTCTTCTTCCTCTAAACTTTTCGTTTTCTTCCTCTACCGTCTATCTCCTCCCCATTCCCTTCCTCTCTTTCTCTCTTTCAATCGTTCACTCCCTCTTCTCTCCTCATGAGTTTTTTGTTTTTTCTTTTTTGCGTATGAAAAAGAGAGAGGAACCTATTTCAAAAATTTCACCGTCAGAAAATTTCATATGAAAAAGAGTTTATGCGTTCAAGAAGAAGAGTATCCCAATTTTCGAAAGCACACAATCTCAACTCTTTTTTGTGCTTTGTAACTAACCGAATTTGAATATTATTGATAAAAGATTGGATGAAATTGGATTTGTAAAGTTGTTACGATTTTATGCAGTTGAATTTGCTAGGTTTAGATATTCAATGATGAGACTAGGTTTTGCATATAGAAATGATTCGACGAAATCTTCTTATCACTTTTTTTTTCTTTTTTTATCAATTAGTATTTTATTTTCGTGTAACATAAATTATTTAAGTTGAAAAGTTTTATCTACCGTAAGATTAACTTGAAAACTCGTACGAAAAAGTTTCTCACGTGTCTCCAAAATGGAAACCTTAGGAGAGCACCTCTCCCGCAAATACATTAACTGGTCATATAAATACATGAGAATTAGAAAGGTGCTGCTGCCACATGCCCGTAATTAATAAATCAAAATAATTGATCAAATTATAAAGACATTAATAAATTTAATTTTATAAACAAACGTGGAAAGTCTTTGGCGCAGTTTTTGGTACAGTGGGCGTTGAATTTTGTTTGTTTTTGGAGTGCACGTTTCTGTCGTTAAATGGTTTTCGTCGTTATTAGTGGATTGTGACTCCCCTCTGCACGTTTATTACTTGTCCCGCGCGCCCTTTCTCCCTCAACAGGATCTTTTTAGGATTTTTTTGGTGAGGATTTTAAAAATCTGTAAATCGTGTTTGTTTATCGTACATCGACGAGAATTTTCGAGATCCTCACAATCCGACAAGGATCTGTACTCCGGAGCGTGTTTCTAATGTCATCGGACCCAGCCAGCCAGCCACCCGGAACTCATGCCGAGATATCTCTCTCGAAG